TAATTATAATAATTTGAAATTTAAATGGTAAATCACATAATTCTGAACAGCAGAAAGTGGAGGAAAAAAGGTATTTTAAAGTTTGCTTGAAGAGTTGTAAGTGATGAAAATCCAGGACAAGAGGAAAACATCCCATTGGTTAATTTCAAAGGTCACCCATCTCAGTGAAAAGAAACACAGGCAAACGTATGCAGAGCAAAGGTTATGCTTCTTAGCAAAGTAGGGCACAAGGCTGACTTGGTACTGTGGTACTCACATTGCTGCCTCAGGTGTTTGAGAGCACTCATAACACAGCAGCCTCTGCTACACATTTCAAAAGAACGCAGCCAATTCCCCTTCTAATCTGCTCCGTGCTGTCCTGGGTGCTCAGTGTGCCAAAGACCAGTAGTACCAGAGTGCCCTGCTCTGACAACTTGTGCAGAAACTGGGAGTTTGCCATTATCTGCCCATGCATCTTGATTCCTTCATGGTGAAAAATGACACTACCTCTTGTGTAAAAGTTACTTATGTTTATGTCTGTCTGTCACAGCACCGACCTGTGACTGAAGTTAAAATCAAGATGGCCAAAACTCAATGGATTTTGGTACAACATACAAGTACAAACATACAGAAAGTCACTTAGCTTACAAGCTTTGTATTTGCAAGAAATAGCATAAGAAAAAGCATAGCAAGATAAAGACAGCTAAGTGCCTTAGACATTTAAGGACTGAAAAAAAATACTTAATCCTCAGATCACAGAATCTTGCCTACCAAAGGTGAAACGACAACACCAAAGTGTCCAAATATCTATTTCACTTGGTAATGAGAACCCATTACTGCTAGGATTTTTTGGTTGTTGGGGGCATATTCATTATTATTCCCAGTCTTGATGACACTATTTTACTTTGATCTTAAATTTCCTGCACTTCCTGTATATTTTACTGGTTTCTATTAAGCATTGTCACTTAATAGACAAAATTGCCAATTGCTGCTTCTGCATCATTGCAGAAGAGAACCAAACTTAAAATACACATACACAAGTACAGAGGCCAGGAAGATGTTAATTGCATTCTTGATTGATGTTTTAGTAGTCATTCACTCTAGACTATACATCTTAACAGTTTCCCAAGAGCTCAGAGATATTTTGTTTATCCTAAAAGTGCCAACTCCTACAATCTTACAATGACTTCACAACGCTTGGTCTCTCCTGCTTTATGCTTCAAAAGAACCACATGGCACTCTTAACATGAAGATGGCTGCACAACATTCAGCTTCTTGGCAAAGTAATTTTTAGAGCTCAAATCTCCAACATATCTATAGGCATGTTCAACTTACAGAACCCCAAGCTGTTTTTTCATTCAGCCTGGTGTGCAGCAGAGCAGCTCTGTTCCCAGCCATCTGGGGGATGGAGGGTGTGGAGATCACTGACTAGATGATTACTGGGATAATCAGTGAAGGAAAGACTCCTGCCTTTTCAAAACCAGGCCAAGATCAAGAAGAATAGCTTACTGAGGAACCCACATTCAGACAAACTATAGTTCAATGAATGATCAACACACAACAGAGCTAATAAAGACATCTTTTATCCCTGCTAGAAAGATTGATGTATCTTGACATTACTACTCTCGTGCCTCAAAAGACTGAAAGGATTTGCTCAGGCTAGTAACAGCACTTGTGCAATAGAGAGCAAGATATGGAATTGCTTGGACAGAAATACCATTCTTCAGAAGACTAATCTCAGAAAGAAATTCCTTCTAGATTTTATATCCAACTTGTGGTGGTACTCTCTGAGATCCCCTGATTTGCTATAAGGAACGCTGTCTGAAATTAAGATTGCAAGGAAAAAGAAGACATTTGTATGTACTACAACTCCTGCAACTCAGGGCAATTAACAAAATTTTAGCTGTCAAATTTCAACTAGAGCAAGGAATAGAATAATACCCCTTCTCCCCTCACCCCCAAACACTGAAAATCGAGCAAGGCTAAAGTATGAAGAAGTCAAAGAGCCACCTGAAGAAGTGCCTTTTTCCCTGGTATAGACAAGGTTGAGAGTCCTGATGTCAAATGAAAGTTGTTCAGTGTGAATACTTATGTAGGTCACTCAGGCCCTATCTAGGTCACCTTTGCAGATTTAAGCAAGCAATTTGCTCTTTCAAAGGAAGTAGCTGGTTTAGTTCCTTACTTGCAGATTAACACTACAAAGAAGTGTCTAGTGCCAAAGGCAACATATGCTACATGCACGAATAATCTGAAAAGAAGGGTGAAAGGACATCTTAAACCCTAACAGATCCAAGAAATTAGAACTTATCTACATGGAACAGAGCAGACATCCAGGCAGGCAAATCAGAAATCCTGACAACTTCAAGTTAGGCATAAACAAGGCGCTTTGTTCCTGGTGTTAGAATTTGGCATTCATTGCCATTGAAGCATACTAGCCTTTCCACGTAGGAAACATTCTATTTTTCATTGAAAATCAAAGAAGCTAATGTTCATTAATCAGGACAATTCTTAAGAGATAGTGGTCTTGTTCCCCATCCCTGGGAGTGTTCAAGGTGAGGTTGGATGTGGCTCTGAGGAACCTGGTCTAGTGAAAGGTGTCCCTACCCACAGAAGGGGGGATGGAACTAGACGATCTCTAAGGTCTCTTCCAAACCAAGCCATTCTATGATTCTATGATTCTACAGCGTTACTTGCAGGAGAAGAGCCAGACTGAACTAAAATAGGTTTCTTCACAACTTCCAGGCACTGATGAATGCATCTTGATGTCATGACCTGAAGGAAGGAGGCAAAAAGTCCAAATCCAGTTGCCATCTGTTCCCTAAATTAAAGGGAACAAGAAACCCACACATATGCAGACCATATTTGGAAGTCTGTAAATTTTATGCATCTAGAGATGACAGATTACAGACGTCAATAACTAGAGGGCAAACAAGCACTTGTGAAACCATCCATTGTGGAAGAAAAAATTAGCAAGTACTTTAGTCATATGTTATCTTCCACAAGATGTCAGAAAGAGATAAGGGATGAATGGAAGAAAGTACTAGCAGCAAGACATTTTATGCTATTGCTGCCCTGCTTATCCAAATTCTAATGATAGGAAGACTCAAAAACATTACAAAGCAGCTTGTAGTTTACTCTGTCTTAGTCATAAAGCTTGCACTGTATTCTTCAGGATATCCTGTATTTCAACAGTATAACAGTTTTTCTGATTCAGCCTTTTTGCTGCAGTTCTTCAGAACAAAAGTGAGTGAGCTATTACAAAAAATGTATTTGCCTTTTTGTTTTGTAGACAAGTATTTAGAAGTCTCACCATGCTACTGAGTGGTGCCAGTCAATCCTGCAACTTTTCTTATATGTTATTACCTTATATAAGCCACGTATGCCTTCTGTCCTGTATATCTTTACAAGAGCATCAACCATTCCTCTGTATTGCCGCTTTGATGGATCAACGCCAGCGTTATACTGCAGCACGAGTCGTGTCTTCGTTACCCATATTGGGTTTGTAATACAGAGAGTCATGGCTCCTGAGAACAGAGGGAAGTCAGACTGATTGTTATGCCAACTCCAAAGCTTGTCCCAGTTTGCTCAGCCCAATGCAACACAGGCTTCTACCGAGACAAAACTACTCCTACAGGAGTACTGATATTACTTAAAACAGGTGAAGTTTATGCTCTCCACTGTTCCCTCTCTCTGCCTTCAAAGCTCACAATCAAGTCCAACCTACTCCTGCTGGGGGTACTTCTGCAGAGTACACCCCTTTCTGTATATTCCCAGTATATTCCCTTTTCTGCCTCACCTTTCCACAGTTAGTGCTATAATCTGTGGCAGATAGGAAATACAAGTAATTTCTTAATGTAATCCTGATTATCTGAGTTAAGTCTTTGGGTATACAATTGTTTGACATTTAATGGACACCACAGTCATGACAAATTTGCTTAATCATATTGATGAGTCAATAGAAGCAACTTGTTATAGCTTTATAGATTATTGAAAACACAGTTTTAAAAGAACCCATTACTGTTTTTCACATCAAACAATATGCCTTATATTCCAACATTAAATAAATTCCAACATCCTAATAAATATCTTCTAAATTGCCTAGATTATATACAACACAGAAGCATGTACAAGAACATATGTTAGAAACAACATATTAAAAGTCCAGGTGATAGAAGTAATTTTACTTCAGGTCTCCTGTTTCGAAGAAAACTTGGACCACAGATAAGGTATTCAAAGACCAACAACCAATTCACTTATTCTACCAGCTTCACTGGGACCAGCGTTATTCAGTATCTTCATTAATGACATAGACAAAGGGCACCCCCAGCAAATTTGCAGATGACACCAAGCTGAGTGGTGCAGTTGACACAGCTGAAGGACAGGATGCCATCCAGAGGGACCTGAACAAGCTCAAGAAGTGGGCCCATGGAAAATAATGAGGTTTAACAAGACCAAGTGCAAGATGCTGCACTAGGTTGAGGCAATCCTCAGCATCAGTACAGGCTGGGGGTTGAACAGATGGAGAGCAGCCCTGCTGAGAAGGACTTGGGGTTGCTGGTGGATGAGAGGCATGAGACAGCAGTATGTGCTTGCAGCCCAGAAAGCCAGTCACATCCTGGGCTGCATGAGAAGCAGCATGGCCAGCAGGTCGAGGGAGGTGATTCTGCCCCTCTACTCTGGTGAGACCCCACTTGGAGTACTGCATCCAGCTTTGAGGTCCCCGGAATGCCATGGACATGTTGGAGCAAATACAGAGTAGGTCACCAAGATGATTAGAGGGATGGAACACCTCTCCTACAAGGAGAGTCTGACAGAATTGTCTTTGTTCAGACTGGAGAAAAGAAGGCTTCAGGGTGACCTAATTGCAGCCTTACAGTACCTGAAGATGGAGAGAGACTACAACGGCATGTAATGATAAGACAAGGCTGCATGGCTTCAAACTGAAAGTGAGTAGGTTTAGATTAGATATTAGATGGAAATTCTTTACTGTGAGGGTGGCACTGCACTGCAACAGGTTGCCCAGAGAAGCTGTGGATGTCCCATCCCTAGAAGTGTTCAGGACCAGACTGGATGGGGCTTTGAGCAACCTGGTCTAGTGAAAAGTGTCCCTGACAATGGCAGGGGCTGGAAATAGATTATTTTTAAGGTTCCTTCCAACCCAAACCATTCTATGAGTCTATGATTTAATAAGCCTTCTCTTCTCCAGGTCTAAATGTTAGACATTTAACAAGTTAACAAGCTGACAGCAGCAGATTTATACAGATACATTTTGGGACTCAATACAGTACTAAATATACACAATGAAAACAGGGACAAAAGACATGCTGACAACTGCTAATTCTGTGCAAAATTGAAGAGACCACAGTGATCCATCTATTCATGTTAAACATGATTACTTTCTTTACAGACAATAAATGATGGCATCTGGGCTTGAACACTAACACTTGTCACCTGTAAGAAAGAGCCACACTGGCACAGAAAGGCAGGTAGCAACATATGGAAAGGCTCAAAGCAAACATTAATCTTCTTTGCATTTAAACTCACCAGCCTGTGCAGCTGACATTAGGTGTTCGGTTGCACCGAGATTTTCCATCTTCCCTTCCTTCTTGTAAGCTTTAATGGCATTGTAACTGGAAAATGTAAAATGTAGTTTGGTAAAGTTGAAAATAGACCTACAACCTCAAAACACCTCACTTAAAGACCATGGTGGTACACAGCCTTTGAAAAAAAAGGTATCTAAACTATCTTTGTTTAGCTGATTAATTGATCTCTGAGCTCTTTGCAGCAAACTATGGTGATACATATTTAAACTGATAAGGTATTACTGTTATTATCAATGGGACTGCATCTTCAAACAGCTAATGCATCTCAAGAACTAACTTCTAAAAGAAACTGATTTGAGAGCCTCCTTTTTATTGAGTGACAGGTATCTACTAGCTCAGAACACACAGAACTTTCTTCTCTTGATCCAGTTTCCAGTCTGTGGATTAGGAACTGTCAACAGGAGTTGAATTGCCAATAGGAATTTACAGCAAAGCTTAAGGACTGAAGTACAACAATAACACAGCCTAGACAACTGACAAGTGAGGTTTGCATAGGCATACCAACCAACTGTTCCTTAAAGTATTGCAGGTAATAGGGATCAGCAGTAAACCAGGTCACACTTATAGAGCTAACAAAGTAGTAAAGATTGAATATTACATCAAGTGACAAAAACAATGAAAGATGTCACTAAAATGATTAAAAATCAGTTAAACATTAAGCTTTAGTAGGAAACTTCAGCATGTTCTCTAATTCTGAACACATCTGTTTAGGTTTTTGCTTTTTTGTGAGGTTTTAAGCACAGTGTATTGGCACTTTTAGAGGATTCTTCATGGATGATATCACCACATCTCAAGTTCCTTAGTATTTTCACAGCATCAAGGGAATGCACTGTACCTGACAAAGGAACAGGTCTCTGACTCAAACTGCTTACATTCTAAACAGCAAACCATAATGAAGGGTAACAGACTTGGACTAGCTAAGAGAATCACAAGCTTGTAAGTCACTTAGAACATTTTTATACCACCCAAAGAAGATGCAGTGTGTATCTGAACATTACATCGTACAGGATATGACACATTTTACAGTTCTACTCACAAGAAAAAGTAAAGTCCCCAGGATGCCCCTGCTCCCACCAGGTTGGGAGTTACTCCTTGATATAAGCCTCGTAGTCCTTCATGCTTCCAGACCGTGGTCAGACAGTGGAGAATCCCATTGTATTTTGGCCTCAGCTCCAATCCATCGTTTACTATGAAAGAAAGGAATTATATGGGAAAACATTTCAGGAAGCATAAAGTTCAACTGCATCAAAGCCACCACAGAAGTAGACAGCCTCCAAAGCAATCTGCAAATGAACATGACACCTAACTGACCATCTGCATTTCAAAAGTATTCTATTACAAGCATGCAAGAGTTGGGCTTTACAGCTTCCTATGTCCAGAGTTAAAGAACTCTAAAAAAAGGGAAGGAAAAGAAAAAAAAGAACTCTTAAACTCTGTAAGATGAAAGTTCCTTTCTATCTGACATGGCTGAATAAATGCATTCCGTGCACTTTTGATGAGCAGCAGCTTTGAAGTTTTTTGTTTCCATTTTAGCACTCCAGCAATTTTGCATCATATTTCAAGTGATACTGGCAGGGTCTTTGACAACACATTTCTATAAGGAGTTTACACAAGCTACAAATAACAACTCTTAAATCCAATCTTCCTCTTTAAAGTGTTCTATAAAGCAACAGGTCATGTCTTATTGATTCCCAAGGCAGATTTTACCAGAATACTCAAAGATTACTTCCATCAAAAATTCCTGTGTTCTCCTTCTATTCTCACTGAATGCATCTGCAGGAAAGCACCAGACGCATACACTTCTCCCACCTAACAGCCTAACAGCTGGTTGTCCAAATATTCAGAAAATATCACTGTCAAAAGTCTAAAAAACACACAAGTTTTTGTTTGACAGATTTAATTTAGAACACAGATGTCCACACAACTTCCAGTGGTAACTACTACTGCTCCTCCCACAACAGCAAGGGAGTAAGCTGGTTACTGATGACATGTGTGATATGGTACATCCTGAGATGACAAGAGGTAACAATCACAAGCTGAAATAGAGGGAATTCTGACCAGAACTTTTTCCTCCATCAGAGTGGTCAAATACTTGAACAAGTTGCCTTAGGAAGCATCTTTGAAGCTACTCAAAACTCCAGCAGACAAGACTCAGCAAACTCACTCAAAACTCCAGCAGACAAGACTCAGCTGGAGTCTAAACAAAACTTATCTGAGTAGGGGGTGAACTCCATCGATCTCTTCTGACCTAAATCACTCTATGATGACAACATCACAGCAGCTTTATTCTTAATACAGATGTAAGGCTAGACTGCAATTTTACTGAAAATCAATCTCAAAGTTTTACAGTTAATGTAGTTTTTGTGTTTCAAGATTAATCCTGGTGAAGAGACATTTTCTGCTCAGTGCCACATTTGTTTTTCATTCCCCTTTAAATTTTGTGCACAGTACTGCAGATTGTGATAGACTTCAGCATTAAAGACAAAATGCTTTTTCTGAGCACACTGTGATAAGGCCTTAACATTTTGACAATCAGCTGCCATTAGATCACGTTTATAAACATATTACACAATGTGAAAAATCCAAGACACAAATACAAGTCTGTCTGTCAATGATGCTGCTGAGAATCTTCACAATATTATTTTCTGTTATGAGCTCTTACTCCCTGGTTGAAGACAAGACACAGGAATTATTATTTTCAACCCAAACAAGCATGTGAGTGTAAGTGACCTCCAAAAGCCACCTAATCCAAACCTCTGCTCAAAACAGATCTCATTAGATCTGGTTACTTAGGGACATGACCAGTCGACTCCTGAATGTTTCCAAGACTGAAGAGATTACAGCTTCTCTAGGTAACCTTTTCCAATACTTGATCAGTCTCACAGTAAAAATCCATTTTCTTAATAAATAAGTGGAATTTTCCACATCTGTGCTTTTACCTATTCCCTATAACTATTCACCTCCAAGAAGATGCTTGCTTCACCTTCTCTGTGTCCTCCAATCACATAATCAGAGACTGCAATAATACCTCCCCTCATCCTTTCCTTTGTGAAGCTAAACTGATCCTGTTCTGTCAGCTTGTTCTCCTATGCCATGTGCTCCAGCCCCTTCACCAGTCTGGTGACCTCCACTGTAATCACATCACTATGTCACTGTCTTCCTTCCTTGTGCTGATGAGCCTCAAACTAGACAGAGCATTTGAGACGTTGTCTTACAAGTGGAAAATAGAGAGAAAGGAACACTTCTGCTAGCCATGCTTTTGATAAGTCAGCCCAGGACCTGCCCTCACTAAGGTATGCAAGGAGGAGTTTAAATCCAACTTTGCAGCAAGTTTGTTTGGAAATGTGATGCTTTAAATTTTGTAAAACCTCTATGTGATAGTTCCTTATTTATTTTTCAGATCTTAAGACACCCTTGTATCTATTTAAGATAACAGCCCAAGAGCAAAATGTTTCAAACTCTCGAAGAGAGAATATGATATACAGGGAAAGTGTTACTCAGATTAACAGGAAAATCAACAGGCAGAAGCTGCCATGTTTCTCTGTGGAAAAACAAACTCGTTCTCTGCAAAACAATACCACTACTGTTAAGATAATTACAAAACTACTGCCAAGCTTTTAGTGCTGCAAAATTTTGGCATAAAGGTGAACTTTGAACGGTAGCGCCTCCTAACACAAGGCAGCGCTGCGGTGTCCTCTGGCGCCGGTGCTCGTGAAAGGGCAGAGCGAGCCGGCAAGCTCTCCGATCCCCCTGGAAACAGCGCGGAGCACAGCGCGGAGCACAGCGCGCACTTCAGCCCCGAGAAATACAGGCGGAGTAAGCTTTGGGACAGGGGAAGAGAACGTCCCTTTCGGCCT